TGTGTTTTATTTTCAAAGAAAACCTGATTTGATAATATTTATTCTATAAAAGATAAAATTCCAAAATATCCCTGGTATTGTTTATGTATTATGTAAGCATATAAGTATTAATTAGTGTGTTTACTTGTTTATTTCCTATTTGTCCTTGCATAGAAACACATATGTTGCTCTCCCAGGGTAAACTTGGGAAGGTCAAAGACATATTCAGGGGTCAGTTGTCTCCTTCTATCATGTAGATTGTAGGAATCAAATTCTGTTCAACACACTTATGTCACGGTGGCCTATAGTAGCTCAGGTATCTTGCTAGTCACATGAATCCATTTTAGAAGTGAAGGTGATAAAAGCCTCAGTGGGAAGGCCTATCATTTTCTGTTGAAAGATTTTAATGAAATTCTACTTACCTTAAAATCATGTCTATGTAACTTTAAAAGGCTTTGATGAAACTCTGACACCATCATATTATCAACTGTGCCATAGGAAGCTGTGCACCACTCAGTTAACCTCCAGAACAAGAAAGCACATCCCTGAGATAATCATGAGTGACTAACTAGATTGAGTATTCTGTCCATTAGGAGGACAGATCAAAGCAAAGAATCAGGAGATAGTCAACCATTGCCCTGGAGTCTGTTTTGTCATAACATAATAACAAAATAACCTGGAAGTCCCTTAGGCAAGGATATGGCTACATTAGTGGTTGATCCTCTGGAATTTTCTAGAGGACTCAAAGCCCTGCAACCAAGTCTCAGATAGGTTGTTTCAGAGCATTGCTGTATCTCTGGGCCTCACAGTGCAGAGGCTTAGAGAACATCCCAGTCAATGTACTAATTAATTCCAGACTGCAATCTCCAAATGCCACCTGGGTGAGACTCGTGACTAAACAACATGGTAAAGAATTTCATTCAGACAGTTGCCTGCTTTTCAAGTCCAAATCAGGCTGCTCTATATGCAGATTCCACTAGTATGGTCTGGTTACACCAAATGGGATTTGTGGGATCCCTCTCTATAAATAATAAATCCAAGTGCAATAGGGAACATGTTTTGAAACTGAGATGCCCAGTGAGAATGCACACACAGATGATCCACGAGTCCCTCTCAAGTTCCTGGACCACAGATACCATTTCCATTAAAACTACACTAAACTGTCTTAAAATAACAAAGTACAAATATGCTAGGACTTTTAAAACTTAGTCTTGAAATTTTAGGATCCTAAAATAATGTAGTTGTCTGGAGTTTCTGGTGGACAGTTTATGACACAGATAGTAGCATTTCTACAGCCAGGACATTATAGACTGATGTATGTGTAGTTCCAAATGGACTAGTATTATTCTATAAAATCCCTATATCTTGCATTCCAGGTACAACTTGGACAATGAGCTATATTTATTTTCTAATTAAGTGAAGTTTCAGCATTGAAAATTTTCATTTTAGGTTAAACTTGAACACTGGGCTCTGCTTTCTCAACTGAAATTTAGTTAGCTTTTGTTTTTCCCTGGATTGTTTGAAAACTGCAATTCTTTTTTCATGGTATTTTTTTCTCTTATTAAAACAAGTTTTTTAAAAAAAGAAAAGAAAACCCCAAATGAACCAACAAGCCGCTTATGAGTTATATGTCACTTTCTTTTAACTATTTCAACGATGAGTGAGCTATTACCAATACTAAACTATACATTGCAATGGGTGACTCTCTTAGCTATGAGAAAACAGCATGCCAAAATGAGCTTGAGGAGAAAGAGTTCATTTCTGCAAGGGAAGTCAGACAGGAACTCACAGCAGGGACTTTGAGGCAGGACTTGATGAAGAGGCTTTGGTGGATCACACTTGTTAACTTGTTCTTTTTATTTTATTTTAAATATTTTTATTCATTTTACATACTAACCACAGTTCCCCCTCTCTGCTCCTCCTCCTGACCTCCTCACCTCCCCCCTACCCCACCCCATCCACTCCACAGAATAGGTAAGTCCTCTCATAGCGAGTCAACAAAGTATGGCACATCTAGTTGAGGCAAGACCAAGCCCTTGCTCCCTGTATCAAGGTTTAGCAAGGCATCAAACCATAGGAAATGGGCTCCAAAAAGCCAGCTCATGCACCTAGGATAGATCCTGGTCCCACCGCCAAGGGTCCCAGAAACAGACCAAGCCACATAGCTATCATTCACATGCAGAGGGCCTAGGTAGATCCCATGAAGGTCTCCAGCTGTTGGTCCAGAGTGTTGACTTGTTCTTAAGGGTGTGTTGAGATTGCTTTGGTACAGAAACCGGGATGACCTGACTTACACATGAAAAGATCTTCCTGCAAGCTAAGGAAACTGGAAAACGTGGTGATGTATTATTTATGATTTATTAAAGCTTGCCTAAAGATTCAGAAAGCAAAGTCAGCCTCAAGCCATAGAGATCAGGCAGTGGTGGTATACAGCTTTAATCCCAGGTCTCAGGAGACAAAGGCAGATGGATCTCTCTGAGTTCAAGTCCACCCATGCCTGCATAAGATTGAATCATGCTAAAGGAGTAAGAGAGCTCACACCTTGAATCCCAGCACTAGGGAGATATAAAAGACAGGGGCTGCTTGGTGGTGGTGCACGCCTTTAATCCCAGCACTCAGGAGGCAGAGGCAGGAGGATCTCTGGGATTAAAGGTGTGTGCCACCTACACCTGGCAGTAGTAATTTTTTTCATGCAATCGATTGCATCAGAGTTTGGCATATGCGTGGTGAAGACAGTAAGGCCTTTTTGAGTAACTGTTCCCTTGCTTGAAATTAAGTATCCTGTATTATCTCTGCTGATTAAATTTAGCTGAAGTTTACTTCATGAAATATTGTGAAAGTTAGCCTGCTTGTTTCCTAGTCACATTTGATTAGAGTGCTTTTGTCTAACCTTTGAATACAAGGCAGTGCCTGTCCTTAAAGTTAAGATGCAGTTTTGTAGGTATCAGATAAGTAGATTTGTTGTCTGATCTATTCAGTCAACCTTTGCTGTATGTGTTAACTGTTGTCATTGTGTTGATTTTGGATGCTGTTGATTGTGTTCTCAGTGGTACTTTGTGGTACATTTTTATTCACAGTGTCTATGCTATTCTCTCTCCTTGCTTTTGCCCAAAATATTGTTTGCTACATTTCCTTTAGGTTTGGTGTTTTGGATATAACCTTTTCAGCTGGTTATGTCATGTAAAATCTCTTTCTCCTTCAGTCCAAGAATATCATTTTAGATAGGTTGGTAATCCTAGCATTTTAGGACTTGGATTTCATTGACTCCAGGCTCTTCTGGCTCTTAAGGTTTTTATTGAGAATTCAGCGCCAGTGCATGCAGATAGGGTAGAATTTGGGGCTAAATATGTAAAGCTTGGCTGCAGGAAGTCTGTGTTGTCAGATTAGCACCAGTCACTGTTTTGAAAACAGGATCCTGTCTGCCTTTAAAATTTGTTTTTTAAAGTTTAACAGGGAATTTTAATTTCATTTCATAAGAAAATGGGATTTGCTGATATTTATTTATTACAACACAAATTTGTGAATATCTTCTTGATCTCATTTTATAGTCAAACAAATTTGACCAAGAATTGAGTGTTAGGATCAATGATTTTCTATTAGAGATTTTAAGGAAATAATACCCAAGCTTCAATTGTTATTCCACAGTGGTAAAGGGAACTGGTGGAATTCTGTTTTCAGCATAGGACTAATGTGGGGCATTATTCCATAATCAGAAATGTTTGTTTCTGTGTCAACCAAGGCTACTAACTGGAAGATGCAGTTCTCTACACTGAGACTAGACATCAAAGGGAAGAAGGCTTGGATAGCTGTTTAGGGTTTTGAAGGCTGTTCCTTGGCTGTGGGAGGCTAATTTCTAAGGACAAACTTTGGTGCTGAAATTCCTGGAGACCTGAGATCATAACTACAGGTGTGATTTTTTGTAGTTGTGGGGCTTCCCTAGAGATGACAGTGGTGCTGTGCTATATAGACTTTTCTCACTCTGGGAAATAGTGTAGTCATCCAAGTGGAGGAAACCTTCATAGAGAAAATGTCCCTGTAAGATTGGGCTGTAGGCAATCTGCTGAACATTTTCTCATTTATTGATTGATGATTAGGACAGGGGTTCCCATTGTGGATGCAGCTCCCCCTGGTCTGTTGATCCTATGAGATCCTGTTCTATAAAAAAACAGGTTGAGCAAACCAGAAGGAGCAAGCCAGTAAGTGGCAGCTCATCAATGGCCTCTGCATCAGCTCCTGCCCCCCAGGTTCCTGCCCTGACTTCCTTCAGTGATAGAGAGTGATAAGAAAGTGTAAAGCCAAATGAATGCTTTCCAAGTTGGTGTTTCCTTACAGCAATGGGAATCTTGACTAGGACAGGTGTGCTGGATGGTTTTGGAAAATGTTTTAAAATCTCCAGCAGAGTGAGAACTATTGATAGAATTCATGTGAGAGCAGAGACTATAGCAGCCATGATAAGAATCAAAAAATATTCTTCCACAGTTCCAATCTCACCCTGGCTCTCTTAGGGGCAGGTTCTTGTGGACAGGATTTGCCATGAGAAAATAATATTTGGAGGTTTTCTCCTGTCTGTGTGATGAAGCAGAATGTGGAGGGGGAGAGGTTTAGAGCTGAGAAAAACTAAATACAAAAATCCAAATACATATGCCCATGGGTTGGGCCTAAGCTAGTGGGTGACAGGCATCAATTCAATAAAAAACAAGGCAAGAAATTGCTTAAACTTAAGAAAAGTATGAATATGCTAAGATCTTGTTATTTAGTGGTGAATGTTTTTGATATTCCAACAAGGGAAATCTCCAGAACTTTTGGCCTGGGATTTCAGACATGCACACACAGTGATATTCTTATGTTCAGAAGTATGCACATTCATACATGAAGGAAAAATTTTTTTATTCTTTCCTTTGTGTTTTCTTTTTATTCTTGGCATCTTCCCTTTGCAGGTAAACATTCAAGGTTGCAGTTTTGTTTTTCAGGTGAAATTTTAGGATCGGATGTGAATTCCAGTTGTGGTGCTGCTTGTCATTTTAGTTTAAGGAATATTGAAACCTCTTCATTAGGTATCTTAAGGAAAATATCAAAACCACAAAAAGAATTACAAAAGCTATCAAATATTTAACCCAATTGGAATTTGTTAGTCTTTCTGGAGGTGGTCCACTGTCTATACTACCTCCAAAGCCACTTACATTACAACCTGGTGGCTTCCATTTGACATCACAGTGGCAGTGATGTTTATTGTTACAGACTCCTTTCATATTGCATTGGGCTGCCGAACAATTACTTAACAAAACAAGCTTAGGGACACACTTCCTGTCAATGCATATGTGGTCTAGACCACAAGGAGTGCCATCTCTCACTGCCCCAATATCAGTTATGGTTATTCCAAAATGGTAGTCGACAGTCCAGCAGGTGACATTGTTGAAGTGAGTCCAATGGACTGTTTCATGTTTTTCCCTATGGGGAAGCTCTATTACATTTTCACACTGAATTCGTCCACAGAGTACGTCCATGCTGTTGCATTGTATGTAGTTATAGCTATTGTTACCACAGTTACCAAAACGGTCACCCCGTTTGTTCATTTCCATGTAGCAAGTCTCACTGGCACTCCTGGCTCCCTTGCCAAAAATTTTCTGACAATGTTCCTCATGTTTATGACATGCCCTTTTATAGCAATAACTACTACCACCGCAGAGATGTCCATCCTCCATGTACACATCTTCTGGACACTCAGGTGAAGTTCCATTGCACCACTCTGGAAGGTCACACTCATTGTTCACACTTCTACACACTGTGCCTGTGGGGATCAACTTGCAATCTTTGCAACAAAGTCCAAAAGCACATTTAGCACCAGGTTTGAACATGCAGTCTTGGCTACAGCATGGATCTCTTTGACATGACTTATAAGACCCACAGTCACACTGCTCTCCTTCCTCCACTATATTATTCCCACACCAGGTCAGGTTTGTGCTGATGCTGACTGCTTCATCTGGAAAATTGTATAAACAGGTTCTTCTGGTAATAGTTCTATAGAGCTCCTCATAACTGCAGTTGCTGAATCTGTGGGAATTAGATTTTGCTGGGGCCATTATGCAACTACTTCTCCCACAAGTACATTGATTACTGTCATGAAGCATACCCAAATTGTGACCCATCTCATGTGCTATAATGAATGCCATATCTATCATTGAATCAGACATGAAGCTGTTAACAGCACAATTATTAGGTGTACAAACTGCACCTACATAAGCTAGCCCTAAATACATACCATAGCCTTGCCTGGGAAAAAGATGTATGATATCATGTCTAATTTGATTGCCAATGTTAGTTTGCTTCCATTTGCAGAAATTAGTTAGGACACTACCTATATCTCCTTCCACATTGACATGATTTTGTTTACTCCACACTTGAAGTGTAGTTAAAATCACGTCAATATCTATTTGAACATAATAACTATTTATTCCATTGACTATTTGCAAAATATCATTAATACAAGCTGTGGCATTATTGTTTCTATAAACATATCGTTTATTATCTATCACCACAAAATATTCAATATACTTGTGGTGGGTCCACCATCCCTCATAGTGGCTTTGCATAAGTGTGGAGTCTTTGCTTTCTTCAATCTTCATTTGTCGTGCTATTTCCTCTTCTGTTAATCCACATCTCATAGAAAATGATTCTAAGTCCTCACTCTCCATTTTGTAAGCAAGATGTTCAAATGTGGAAGTTGAGCTCTTGGGCATGATTTCATAAGCTGTGCCATTTATCTCTAGTATGCCTTGCAAACTCCCCAAACAGGTTGTAAGGGCAACAATGGATTCTGGGTCTCCATCCACATCTCCATGGTAGTAGCAGTCACTCTGCACCTCAGGCTGCTCTGCAAGGAGATCATCTTTGTCAGTGTAGGTGAGCAGTAGGAAGTTTCTGGATATGAAGTATTTTGTGGGTTTCATGGTGATAATGTGTCTCTCTCCACCAAAGCGCAGGCTATAGGACAACCAGCCTGGAGAACTACCATGTCTCCTAGTGTCAGTGACCCTCAAGGGTATCACTACTTCTGGAGGGCTACTGTATTTAGTGTGTTCAGTTGGGGACCATGGGGAGAGGAAGAGCAACATCCACAGGCAGAGCTGAAAGACCATGATCCTCTCATGGACCAGGACCTCACCCACAGTCACTATGTCCTGTTAGAGAACAAAGGGGGAACATGAGAGGGCTTGTTCTCCTAGAACTCAGTTTGTCAGATTGTATACAGCACTGGCATTTTGTGGTATGTCTATTGGCAGAGTTGAACCATCAGAGCAGCAGAACTAAAAGAAACAGGAAAAAGAGGGCCAGACAAACCATGTGTAAATTAGAATCAAATCAGGTTAGAGAAACAAAGAACAGAGAACAGGCTAAAATCAATTAGTCTTTTTTTCCAAGGGGTTTCAACACTGTGCTTGAATTTTTTTAGTTGTTAGTAAAGTACAGTTGTCTCACTACAAATATGTTTCTAGTACTCTCCCAGCTCTTAGTAATATACTTACAATTTTTTGATAACTTGCTCGCATTTCACATTGTTTCTGAATGTTCTAATTTTTACCCTTTCTTCAACACCAACTATGGATTTCCTTTGTGGAAAATGAGATTGTCTTTGCCCATATATATCTATGGGCAAAGGTGGATATATATATATATATATATATATATATCTTCAAACACTGTCCTGCTCATTGAGTACATTTGTATATTTCTTTCTGTCCTTGCTTTGTAATTGTTGCTAATGGAAGAAACTTCCCTCAGGTGGAAGATTATTCTCATTTCTATTTTCCATTTTTAAAAATCTTACTGTATGTGACTGTATACAATAGTGTGAAGGAGAACCCTGTGTGCATGTGAATGTTTTTCAAGGTCACAGTTCATTGTGGCTAGTGAGTACTCAGAAGATATATATCCTGTTTGTGCAGTTAATACTAAAGTTTAGTATTTTAATTTTATTGATTGGTTATCTGTTTGTTTGCTTGTATTTATGTAATCATGTGCATATGTATGTATATTTGTGCATGTATTTGTGTTTGTGTGTGAGTATGTGTGTGTTTATAGAAGTCAATAATTAGCCTTGGGTAGAATTGCTCATCTAACTTGGCTTTTGACATAAAGTTGGTCATGAGCATCGTGCTCACTAAAGAGGGAAGAATGACTGGCCAGAAACCCTTAGCAACCTACATATTTCTGTCTCCTCATTTGTGGCATAGGTTTCAGGGATTCATTTCATGTCTGTATGTTCTCAGAGAATTCACTTTATGAGATGAGTGATCTCTCCTATCTGGCATCATCATCTTTAGTGTGTTATCTTTTGAAAAGTAAATTAAGGAATAAAAGACATTTAAGGACAATATCATGAACCATGATCACTATTCAAACATACTTTGCTTTAGATTTGATAATTATTATAGCAAGTTTAATTCTGGTGTAGAGAAAAGGATTATTGAAAATGCACCCAGCACTGTTGGAATTGTACCAAGAAAAATACGTCAGAATTAGTGACTAAAACTTTAGAATTAGATAGGTTAAAAATAAAACTTAAGGAAAAATTGAACAAGTTGAATTTTGCATTTACTAAATTACTATATAAAATGATTCTAGCATCCAGAATTCTAGAGAAATGATACAAATTTTTTTTTTTTTTTGGTTTTTCAAGACAGGGTTTCTGTGTAGCTTTGGAGCCTATCCTGGCACTCGCTCTGTAGACCAGGCTGGCCTAACTCAAAGAGATCCGCCTGCCTCTGCCTCCCAAGTGCTGGGATTAAAGGTATGCACCACCAAAGCCCAGCATGATACAATTTTTTATCCAAAATTTGGTACAACTGTAACAATCTAGATTTCATATTGGCTCTAAAATATCATCTTTTACCACAAGTTTTTTTCTTCCCTGAAATTCAAATCATTAATAGCTAGCCAGCTTACCACCCAAGCGCTCTATATTTTAAGATGTGTTGAATCACAATAAGAGCTCTAGAATCTCCATAATAAAATAGAAGAAAGTGGAAATATTTAAAGAAATTCCATCCCAAATTAAGAACAAGTGTCAAGTAATGAGGGGATGTATTCATTCACCTTGAAATGTTTGTGCTTTTGTCTCTTACTGAATCTTCTAAAGACTTACCGTCAGGTGAAGTTATGCCTGTGTTCCTATGGTCTTTCATACAAAATATTTTTAAAACCCATCGTAAGAATAAAGATTATTGTTTGAGAATGCACAAGGGAATATAAGTCCTTTATTTGTTGCCTATGGAGTAAGTTCTAGATTCATGAACCTAGCAACAAGAGCGTTTCATTTAACAGAACCTAGCAACTAGTGAGATTCTTCCCAGTGCTTCCTCTACCACTTCTACCAAAGTTATTTGGATTTGCTTTTCATTGTCAATAACTCTCACTTCCCTACTGTCATATGCTATGCTCCAGTGTCTCCAGCATAAATAAATTTCATTTCCTAACTTACAGGTCTCCACACACACTGTAAAATCAGCTGAACTCTTTATTTTTGTTTATATTATAATCATTGTTCCTGTTTATTTACTCTATATTAACACTTTTTTTAAAATTGTATCCATTTGCATTTATTTCATGTCAGTTTCACCTTATTACAGCAGGTTTTTTTCTTTTTTTTCCATTCATTTACTTAGCTCATAAATAAAGTCATGCACAATTATGATACATAATACAGTATGTTCACAATGGCATGGCTAAATTAAACCAATTAACATGTTATATCACACATATTCATCATTTTTATTTTGAGAACACTTAAAGTATACTATCTCATAAATTTTAAAATATAGCATATTGTTATCAACCATATTTATCATGCTCTCAGTAGACCTCAAGTCATCAAAGAGTCCATGCCTCTTGTCCAGCTGCAGTTTTATATCCTTAAAATCGTTTCCCCATTATTAAAAGACCCACATTGAAGCCTTATAGCCATAATTCTGCTCTTTGTTCCCATAAGTTAATCATTTCTAGGTTACACAAAAAATTGAAATTGTGTGACATTTGTCTTCCAGTGTGTCACTTATTTCTTTTTGGCAAGCATATAACTTTACTACTTACTAAAGATGAAATCAAATTTGCATGCACAGGTGAGAGCAACAGCTTTTCCAGGTTCTGCAGTCATTTGAACAAAATTGTAAAGACATCCAGCACACTCCATTTAAAAAAAAACAAAAACAAACCAACAAACAACAACAACAACAAAAAAGTAAAAAACAAAATCCCAGAAAACAGCACAGTTTTGTTACTCTTGTGGTACTTGGCACAATTTTTTTTTTTTTAAATTAGCTCCTCAGTCATCGACTGGGAGGAAACCATTCTGAGTAACATCATTAAAAACAGCTCTGATAAACATGGTCACTATTATGTATCATAAAGCAGGTCCACATATGAGTGAAC